GTTCAGCAGAGTCATTACAGTTTATTTCCTGGGAATCTCAAATATTGGTAGCAAATTTCACATCAATCCACATGACTGCTGTTGAGTGCTAGAGAAATTCTAAACCACAAAAGTCAGGAACTCATCAAAGTCAGTCATCTAAGTACAAAATATCACAGAAGCTTATTTGCAGATATTATACAACTAAGGAAATCAGGAATTCAGAAGTTCATCAAATAATAGTTAACCTACAATATATAACTGTCTCATTGTCCTTCAGTAGAGTGAAGTGAAGTATTCTAACTAACAGATTAATTGTTAACATTAAAACAAATACCTAGCATGTGTTTCTGATTGGAACTGCAACCAATTGTTAAATGATTATGTCAAAAATGTATTCTCAATGATATTTATTAACAAAACAGGATGTTTTCTTTTGTAAGAGGGGAAAGGAGGTATTGCATGTGTGTTTCTCAATCATTTCAGCACAGTGGTTTATTGTTGCATCCCTCTGAGTCTGTGCGTGTAATGTGTGTGAGTTTCTCAGAACAGAGTGGGGTGGTCCAAAAGCACCTCCACTGTGCTTTTCCTTTATTATTTTTTCTGAGAAACCACTTCTTCCACACAGCATAGTTTTGTTAGCAACAGATACAGTGGAAATCTTTTAGATTGCTGTACTGTTCACCTCCAACATGTTTGCCTCAGAGTTCAACAACTCAACACTTTAGTGATTACACAGGCACTGTAGAATATTAAATTCATTCTAACTTGTGACTACATGGTTGGCCTGTGGTTGCAGGAAACTACAACAACGACTTCCTACTGTATAAAAAATGCTGTTGAACTTTCAGAACTCTAAATCCTTGACAGTGGGACTGCTGTTTCCAAGAGAGGCCAGGAATATATTCCCATTATGCCCCTTGCTTTGTTTAGCAGAAGATATACAGTAGTGTTGTAATAGTAATCTTGGGTACGAACATGCAGGCATGGACTTTAAGGTTGTTGCCGTATATGACTACCTGGAAAACAGTTTTTCTAACACATTAGGAGCTACATCAGCTCCTCAGACATGTCACTCATGTCATTCTGTCAAAGCAGTGAAAGGAAGTGACTCAAAATTTGAGAAAACTTGTGCTGTGGGAAAATTATTAAAACCTGAGCTCAGACCACCCAATGACTGGTTTGCACAAAGTACATGTTAGCAGCCTGGCACCAAGTGTAAACATGTAATTACCAACAATACCCAAAAGAGCAATTATATGGTAACACAGCCTTACTAAGTCTGTTTTGGCTCAATAATGAATAATTAAAAGTGGCAGTAAAGACTGCAAAGAGATTGCAAAACCTAGCATCAAAGAGAAATATATAAATAAACCAAAAATCCCCCTGTTTACAAAGATTTACTAATAATTTACCAACAGTGGCGACTGCATCACTCCTGCCCACCATCAGTAACCAATCACAAGGGGTGTTGATTTGTCAATCCTGTCTGTACACACATAGCATTGAGTGATATAATGACAAATTTATCAGTATTGTTTTCATTTTAAGTTGCTGCTTGCATAAGTGTTATTGCTGATCAAACAATAAAAGCAAACATCTGTCTTTATACTAAATGATTTACCAGCAGTAGCTTCAGCAGCAGAGGGATAATGGTTTGCACTTTAAACTTAAATGGTATAATACTGTGCTATATTACTTCTAGAAATTAGCAGTGACTTCACTTGTATGTCTGACAAGAAAAAGAAGCAGAAATGGTCTCAGACAACTGGAAAAAAACCTGTCTGACTTAGTCAGCACCAAACTAAATAGGCCTGTACTTCCTTTGCTTTCCTAGAGCTGATATTTTCACAGCTGCTGCATGAGAGAATTTTGTGGATTCTCTAGTCTGAAACATTATCTGCCCTGGGCACAATGGTATTGTGTTTGTTCTTTTTTCAAGGTGAGCAGCACATGGAAGTCGCCAGTTTGTCTATGACCCACTGGGGTTCATTTAAGGTAACCCATGGTTGAGATGAACAATATATTTCTTTCCAAACTAAAAAAATGATTATGGCTATAATATCTGTGATACATCTCACTGTTTTGATGATAGAGAATCTCATATTATGGATATAATGAGCCTTTCAGAGTATTACTATTATAGGCACATTTAGTGTGTCTGTGGTGCAACATCATAAAGCCAGAGGGGGAAAAGTATTCAGGTCCTTTACATAAATAAAAGAGAAAACACCAGGCT